TTTCTGGATTCTATGTTCTATTCCATTCTTCCATATGTCTATCCTTATGCCAGTACCATATTGTCTTGATTACCCTAGGTTTGTATTACGTTTTGAAATCAAGAAATGTGAATCTTCCAACTTCGTTCTTTTTCCAGATTGTTTTGGCTATTCTGCGTCGTTTGAATTTTTGTATGAATTTTAGACCAGCTTGTTAATTTATGCAAAAAATCCAGCTGAGATTTTGACAGAGATTGTGTTGACCTGTAGATCAATTTGAGAAGTATTGCCATCTTAACAATATTAAGTGTCTTGAACTTGAGATGCCTTTCCATCTGTTTAGATCTTCATTAGTTTCTTTCAACAATGTTTTGTTCTGTTCAATTAAAAAATATCTTTTCTCTCTACTCTTTGGATTGAATAATTTCTATTATTCTGTCTTCAAGTTCATGAACTTTTTTTGATAGTTTCCAATATGCTGTTGAGCTCATCTGGTGAATTTTTCATTTCTGAGATTCTGCTTTTCTTGTACTTTCTATTTTTCTGTTGAGATTCTCCATCTGTTCATCAATTATGTTTATTTTTTCTTTAAATTATCAAGCATGTGTTAGTAGCTGTTTTAAAGTCCTTGTACGCTTATTCCAACATCTATGTCATATCTGAGTTTGCTTCTATTGGCAGCCTTTTTTCCTGATTTTCACTCACATTTCTCTCTTTTTCAGATGTGCAGTCATTTTTTGTTCTATGTTGGATAGTGTGATGATATGTCAGGAGTATGTTGAGTATAAGAATTTAAAAAGACGTGCTTTCAACTAGTATCTCAGCCACAGGGCTCTACCTTTATGAGCCAAATGTTCCACATTGCTGAGGTGTGTGGAGAGGCGTCAGGATCCTCATCTGACTTTAGGCAGTGCATATAGTGGTTAAGAACATAAAATCTGGAGTCAGATTGCCTGGATTTGAATCCCAGCTATTTTAATTTCTAGCTGTATAATCTTCAGTAAGTTACTTTCTGTGCTTCCATTTCCTCACAAAATGGGGATTATTATTCAGTGCCTACTTTGTAGGATTGTTGAGATAATTATATGAGTTAATACATGTAAAGCAATTGGAACAGTGCCTGGCACATACCAAGGGCTCAGTAAACACTAGTTCTCACTTTTAAGAAAGTGAAATGATGTTCCCCTGAAAGACCAATCTCCTGCTCCTCTGGGCTCCCACTGCATGACCCCCTTGCCTGCCATGTTCACAGATGCCTCTCATGTGCACAGACCATGTAGGTGCCTCTCTCCTTCACTTTCCTCTTTAGACTGTGGGCTCCTCCAGGGCAGGGACCAAGTCTGGGAGCCAGCATCCTCACATTGCAGGGGCGTGATGCCCCTATTTGTGGAAGTCTGACCGACAGCTTTGTCTCCTCCCATACACCATGAATTCCTCTAGCTGAGAACTGGTCCTGAGCCTGAAGAATAGGCAGTATTCTTCCTTTTTCTCATCTCCCTAGAAGAAACACGGAAAACCACCTATCATGAGAGCCGGGACTTAGAGACCATCCCATCCACGCCTTCATTTTACAGATGGGGTAGCAGAAACCCTAACAGGAGAAGGAGTGTGCCCAAAGCCACATTTGTGGTACTTCAAATAAAACAACAAGTGATGGGAGATGGCAATTTTCTAGGAGTCATTTCAGCTCTGCCCTCCCAATGATGATAAAAAGTGCCATTTGGCAGTTACCTGTGTCTGTCATCAATACAACATAAGAAAATGGTTTAATTATGATTTAATACATGCACCTTGCTTATACGCGATATTTTCAAAACATTAGTTGGAGGAGGGGTATACTAAAAGGGTCTGATGATGAAAGACTGGAAGCAGGGGTTTAGAGGACCGTGGGATGCCCACTTTTCTACATCTCCCCTCTTTTTTCCCCTGCCCCGCCCACCTCAGTCACCCAGTAGGCCTGAGACCATTGGGTGCAGCCTGTTGGTTAAGAGCATAAACTCCGAAACTCACCTGCCTGAATTTATATCCTGACTCTGCTAACCAAAAGACCCTGGACAAGTTATATAATCTCTCTGTACCTCAATTTTCTCATCTGTAAAGTGGAGCTAGTGATAGGAACTACCTCACTGGGCTGTTGTGAGGATTGAGTGTGTTGATATATGTGTAAGGTGCAGGGAACATTCCCTGGCACACAGTAAGTGCTGCATACACGTTAGCTACTAGCTATTACTATGATTATTCCTGTTTTCACCCTGCCCCCTGAGGCCTGGGAGCCTGGCAACACCCAGCCTTGTAGCCTTCTCCTTGCCTGGTGAAGCAGAATTCCAGCCCAGGCACTCAAATCACCAGTCACAGACAGAAAATTGGAAGGCCCTTTGTCTGGGATGTGTCCAAGGAAACTGAGTCCCAGAGAAGACCAGAGACCTGCCCAAGATCACCCAACTGTGGCAGAGCCTGGGCTGGAATCCAGTTGTCCTGGAGCCCAGAGAACTCTGTCTTGGGCATGACCAGCCCGCCTGCCGACTCTTTCCGGGCTTTGTAGTGCAACTTGACGATTGAAGCATTTATTTCTATGCAGGCTGTGTGATTTGGCTTGACAGGGTTGGACACTCCGGGCGCTGCCAATTGGGTGAGAAGTGAGCTGGCTGGCTGGACTGCCCCCACCCACCACAGCAGGAGCCAAAGTGAAGCTGGGACGAGCCTTCGGAGCTGAGGCCTCTCATCAAGCCCACTCCTGTTGGGGCCTTGGACTGGGGGCTCGGTCACAGTCAAGAGTCCCAGGGTGCCTGCTCCAAATACATTCCTTCTGGTGGATATCGGGGGAAATGTCTTAGACAGCCCTGCCCTGTCCTTACCGTTCCCAGAGACTGTGGGTCCCCAGAAGATCTCTGCTGTGGCCAGGGACCCCTGTGAGCTGGGAGACCAAGGCTGGAGGAGGTCCACAGCCCAGGTCTGTCACAGGGGCCTTGGATCCCTTCCTTTCTGCGCCAGCCTTCCACACCATGCCATTGCCTAGGACGCTTGCCCTCTGCCTCACATGAAATAATCAAACCTTTACCCCTTGCCAACTTTCTCCCTTTAATTTTGTTGTACCCACTACCCCAACCTAGGTCTGGTGACCCCACAGTGACCTTGAATGCATTTTTGTTTATTGATGGTCAAGCCCATCATCTCTAAGCCTTCGAGGCAGGGACCAGGCTCACTTTGCTCACCCTGTCCCCTTGCCCCCTGCAATGTCTGCACAGAGGTGATGCTAAGTCAATAATCGTGGTAGGAAGGAAGATCCTCATGGAGCTGTCAGTCAAGGGCCAGAGAGAGATCATTTCTGACTCTGGGAATATGGACTCAATTAAGATTTTTATTTCATGGTAGATAATTATGTTTAAAAAAGCAACACCCAGCCTTTAAATCCTAAGTACTCTGGGAGGGGCTCAGTCAGGGCTGCCCCAGGAAGAAGCAAGAGAGCTGCGGGCCCCTCCCAGAAGACTTCCTGGAGGAGGAGGGGTCTGAAAAACAGTAAGAGGCTTCTGCCAGGGCAGGCCAGCTTACGGCTTTGGAAGGAGATGGGAAGGAAGATTACACATTTTGCAAGCTTCCTGATCCTGGAATAAGCCCATTTGCCTGGCCTCCTCATCAATTTGGAAACTCTACATCCAGAGTGATCATCAAGCCTCCCACTAGGCACTGAGAGATCTGGGAGTGGAGTTCCTGCTAGGCCTCGAAGTGAGGATATTTCCACCACCACCCTCACCCACATCAACCCCCAGTGCCAACTCCTATCATTAACATCACTGCTCTGTCCTCACCAGGAGAGTGGGAAGAGGAGCAGGGAGCAATCCACGTCCTCTTCAGGACAGAGGTGGGATCTGCTTTCCTTTCTGAGCTTCACTGTGGCTGCTTGTTAATACGGTGTGGGCTTCCAAAGCCCCCTAGAAGCCCCGAAACAGCAAGAGAGCGTCTGGGTGCATTGATGGGGGGTGAGGGGAGGGCTTCCAGCAAGTTCTCAAAGGTGCTCATAACCCTTGGGAGGCTCAGGACCAGCAATCCAGACCTGAATTGTCAAGGCATCCCAAGGTGGCAGTGGGCAAGGATTACTGGGAAAAGAGGCCTTTAAGGAGCTAGAATTTGATGAAGGGCAGAATTTTCTTGAAGCTGGTGCACTGGCATCGACCTACCAGCTTAGTGTAGCAATCTAGAAATTGTCTGCCATCTGACTGGGTTGAAGGCCTTGGAACAAGCTCTGACCCCATCCCTGCTGCTTTGCCCTGCGCCTTGGCCTTCAAATTAGGGCTTAGAATTTCCCCCTAACACCCAGTGAGGCTGCCTCCATTTTTTCATCTTATCCAACGCCACAAACCTGTGAGTCTCTAAAGTGAGGGAGGAAGCGGAGGGGGCATTAGAGGGCGAAGGGCAAGTTGCAGAGACATTTGTTACCATGGGATAGAGGCTATCCAGAGGCAAGGGTGAGAGGGAGTGGTTGGCTGAGTTTTATGATGCAAACAATGGGCAAATCTAGTGTACGTGGTGTCCTAGCTTCAGAGCTGGTCGTGGAGCCCTGGTTCTCAGGTGCCGACTCTGCCTCTTGCTGGGCATGTGACACGGAACAAGTCTACAGCTCTCTGGGCCTCTGTTGTCTCATCTGGAAAAGGGGACTATTAATAAGTTACAGGGCTGTTGAGAGGATGCCAAGAGCCAAGACACGTAAAGCACTTGGCACGTTACGTGTATTTAGTAAAGAAAAGTAAAAGAAAGCAAAAAAAAAAGGTCAAGCTTCCCACCCAGCCCCAGGGCTGGCTCCAGGTGGAGGGCCCAGTGGCAGGAGCAGTGTCTTTCTGTGCCTCTGCCAGGGACAACAGCCAACAAACTTCCTCTCCTTCCTTTACTGGCAGGTGCCTCTCCCGCCTCCCGCCTTTCTTACGTAAGACTCACAGGTGGGCAGCTGGGGCCTGTGCCAAATGGGTCAGAGGTACCTGGAGCCACACCTCATGTGCAGCCGCAGGGCAGGCTGGGGTGGGTCCCCACTCACACCCAGCCTCACTGCCTCATCACCTGGAAGCCAGGGCACTGACAGGGCTGGCTCCCATACTCACGATGCCTTGGCTGAGGGAGCACAGGGGATGCTGAGCCCGCGCCTGCCAGCCGCAGGAAGGAGGAAGGTGAGCACCCTGCAGCAGCCACTGTCCTGGGCTCTCCCTCTGCTGTGAGTCCTCTGGGGGGGTCTTTGGGCCGGGAATTGGGAGTCGAGAATGGTGAGGAGCTGCCAGCGGGCTTGATCTTTGAGGTGAGACAGGCCACACAGACTAAAGAGAAGGAAGGGGTCTGGGGCCCGCCGCGCAGGACAATGGAGAGGCCAGTGTTGACGCGGCAGGGAAGAAGAGGCTGTGCAGTTGAGGACTCCAGTGTGTGCAGAGGGACTGGCCTGGGTGGCCAGGACTGTGGGACTTGGAGGAGGCACTGCTCTTCTCCCTGCTTGGGGTTTTTAGGACTTGGGGAAGCACCTGGGCAACGTCCTCCATTGAAGACACTCTCCAGCCTTCTGGGAGACAGTTTCCCACTTCCACTGCCCCTGAGTAGAGAGAGGAGAGAACTAGAAAGAATAACAGGGAGGGCAGCCAGTGATGGTCAGGATCCTTTGCAAAGGAAGTGTCCTGGGAGTCTGATTTATTTGCCCGTCCTGCTAAGGATTGGCCCTGGGAAATAGACCCGAGTCCGAAGGCAGCCTCCTGATGCAAGGCTGCATTGTTCTCAATGTGATCGATCAGAGAGTGTGGGCTTAGAAGGCAGTAAATGACAGTCAGGTGCCTAGCCCCGGGAGCCGGTGAGTCATGCCCAGGAAGGAGGGCAACTGCCCTCTCGCCCAGCCAGGCCTCGGGCTGTGACTCACACTGTGTCTCTGTTGCAGGGCGATTTGGTGGAGCTGGGCCTCCCTGGGGCTGATGCGGCTCTCCCGGGGGATGCTGGGACACGTTCTCTGAGGTTCTCGCTCTCTCCCGGGTGAGCTCGCGGGGTGCGGCCGCACCACGGGGACCATGCCAGAGGTGCTCCTGCTCAGGTCTGCCAGCTCCATCCTGAGGACCGTGTAAGAACAAGGATCCCACCCTCCTCCCACCTCCAGGCCCCCACGCTGCCTCCCAGGGAGAGTACCCGGGCTTGGCGCGGCACCTGGACCCCTAGACTCAGTCACCCTCCTAATCTCACCAAAGAATTTTCCTCTACCTACTGCCCACAGGACCCGTGAAAGTCCACCAGTAATGATGACGAGAGCTGACTACGTTCTAAGCACTTTACTTGTAACATCTGATCCTCGCAATAGCCACAGGATTTAGGCAGAAAACTAAGGCTCAGAGAGGTACAGTGACTTGCCCATGGTCAAACAGCTAGTCAAGTAGGTTGAACCCAAGCAGGCCAACTCTGGAGAACCTCAATTCTATGTTGTTTCAAGAAAGTATTTATTGAGCACCTACTGCATACAGAGCAGTGGCCTGGCTGCTGAGGGCTGAATGGGAAGAAAGGGCAACAGAAATAAATAAGAGATGGATCCCCACCCAGGAGGGATTCACATGGAAAATGAGGGCTCCCCTCAACTTATGTGTCACACACATAGTGACAACTTGAGAAGGATAAGATCCAACCAACATTTACTGAGCTCCAACTGTGTGCCTCAGCGCGTACTCAGGGCCAGAGTTGAATCAGATGTGACCTCTGCTCTAAAAGAACTTCCCAAGCCACGTGTGACCTTCAAAGCCCAAACTTGAGTGTCCAAGGGCCACGAGGGTGAGACAGTGTTGGGGATAAGCCAGGAGGGCTTCCTGAAGAAGGAGCTGTAGGAGGCTTGGCAGGCTCTGTCTTCAAATGGTTCCCTGTCAGCTCCTCCAGCAAGGTAGGAGGAGAAAAGAGAGAGCAATCAACCAGAGCTGGTTAAGAAAAAGGGAGAGTGCGGGCTTTCCCAGACTCCTCTGCCTCCCCCACAAGTCTCACAATATATTTGCTCACACATGCCCTTCGAGTGTTTGCCTGCTCCTCGTGCTACTGGGCAGGTGCTCAAGACGTTTGTGTTTCTGTGAAAGGAGAGTAAAGGCAAAGTGCTTATGGTGTGTGCATGAGCTGAGGGGAGAACAGACTCCTGTCCTCATCAAGGTGGTCCTTTTGAGAGCTTGCTCTCCCTCCTAGGAATGAGAAAAGTAGATAGAGGCAAGTCAGCCTCCTCGGGCCGTTCTCCCTTTTAGAACTTCTGTCCCTGGGACTGTAGCCAACTTCTGGAGTACTACACTCCAGGAAGAGTCTAATTTTCCAGAATGACAGGAATACTGTGTTCGCCACCTTTGACAGGCTCATTGTGCTCACGACGACAGTGGTCGCACCTCACCTATTGGGGTCATTTACTGGCCACTTGTGCCTTCCGGAGTAACAGCAAGAATCAGGAGGGCCCACAATGCTTTTCAGGAGTCCAAACAGTAGGGATTGCTCCCCAAATCTCTGGGGCTTTTCTTTGAGGAAAGCATAAATTCCACTTTGGAAGCCATCTTCTCTGATAAGTGACAATTCTAACAAGCTTGGCTGTCTAGTTTAGTTGTCTGATTTCCTAGCCTGCTACAAAGAGAACCTGCTAAGTCGGAGGGAGATGAATTGCTGGAGGCCAGCACACTGCCTGTGGCAAGAAGTGCCCACCAGTAACACAGGCGAGGATTAAAAACCAAAAACCACGACCACCACCACCAATGACGTGCGAGGCAGCGGCCGCGTTGGGAAGGGGCAGACGGCCCTAGACGTGATGCCGTGTGGCTCACTTCTGTGTTAGGAGCCAGGCCAGTAAAGTCTGTTACTAGTTATGATCCTGAGTGAGCAGGAAAAAGTGACAGGGAGGTTTGGCAAATTCTGTTTCAGGTGATAAGCAAGGGTGACATCCCCTTAAAGAGACTAAATCTTGAAGGTTCTAGCAAGAGAAAAGGCACATTTGACTCCTTTGGACAATCAGGTTTTGACATTCTCTTAATCAGGCATCCAATATTCTTCAGGCACAGGGCATGGAGGGTTGAATAAGACCCTCCGTGGGCCGTCCTCAAGGGTAAGTGAGGTGTTCCTGTCACACCAAGTACAAGCAGAGGCCAGGTCCACCCTGTCATTGAGGGAGGGAAAGGACAGAACAGGGGAGGGGACAACAACAGTGTCTGAGCCACAAGAGACTTGCTACTGCAATGGGCTGCCAGACGGTTGGGAAAAGGCCGCCACCAGAAGAAGGGGGGTCCCGTGAACAGAAGCTTCTACTTATGATGAGTATGCCTTGCCCTCGGCTTCCTTACGTGGCTGTCTTTTCATTTAGTTTTTGTTTAGCTATTCTAAAACCAGAACCAGTTTACACAAATTTTATTAGCTGCCTGTGCCTTTTGATGGTGAGGATTTAAGAACAGACTTGTTTGTGAGGAAGGAGTTAAGATGGTGGGAGATTACAGCCAGTGATGGCCTTGGCAGTTTGGGGGTGGCTGCCCAGCTGGTGGTTCAAGCACCGGGTTTGCCCTGTGGCCGGCCCTGTCTTTTGAGGACACGAGCCAAGAGAGAGCATGGACATTCCACCAAGCTCACAGTCTTTCCCTGGACGCTCACAGTATAGGGCCCTCAGCCTAGTTTTGTGTCCCCCTCATTCACCCTGTAACCATCTGAGCCCAGAGCTCAGGGACCGTTTGGTAACATTACAGTCTTCTTTGTCCCAAAGTGGAGGTAGTTTCTACTGGACAACCCAAGATAGTAGTGACAGTCACCGATGACCCGAAGTCAGCAGGACAAGTTCCACAGCATTCGGAACCCTCTGTTTCCCTCTGCCTGGCACAGGAGGCCTCACCTCAGAAGCATGCTCTGTCATCTTTTCAGTCCTTCCAGCAGCCTCCCTGGAGAAGGTCACCATAGCAAGAGAGGGGCCACTCCAGCCCCGTGGCCCAGGCCTTGCTCACAAAGTTTCCAAGAAGGGGACCAGCTTGGCCCCCCATTCATCCCTCTTCCCCCCATCCCCTCCCTTCCTAACCTCCTGATGTCTTTTGCTTTAAAACTTATCTCAGGTTCTTAAGCAGACTGCTGCCAGGTGGGCCTGGGTGTGTTCGCAAACTTAGTTTGAACCTGCAGTACCAGCAAGACGTAAGGCGGAATGTGAGAAGCAGGTAACTGTCCCAGCTGCCTGGGAACTGGACAGGGAGAGGACTAGCCCCACCCTGACAGATAGACAGGACTTCCTGGAGCCAGGGTCCTGCCCTCAGGGCTGCCATTACCAGCTGCATAGGTTCCACACTACACAACTCCAGGAGGATCTGTTTACATAGCTGATGACTGTGAAATGTGTCCCTGGAGTTGTATAATGTTGCCGGCTTGCTCAATCCTGAGGTGTGTACTGAACTCATCCAGCCAGGAGGTTGAGGTCAGGCCAGTTGAACCCTGAGGAGGAATGGTGCTGAGGAGCAGTGAGGCTGAGTTGAAAACAGAGGCCCAGTAACCCCTTGGGCTGTGTTGGCTGGAAGAAGAGACCCATTGTCCACAGCCACCAAGCCTGGGAGGCAAGGGGGATCTGGGGCAGGGGTGAAGGCAGATGGCATGAGCCCCAGGTCTCCCTGGTCCCATGCTGTTCCTCTGTGGGCGAACAGACATAGGGCACACCCACAGGCACCACTGAGGAGGAGAGGGCCTCATTTGGGGGCTTGCTCAGGACCCATGAAAGCCCAGGCAGGTCCTCAGCTCCCCTCTGACTGTTCTCAATGCCTGAGAACTGGTGGGTGTGCAGAGTGGGGGGTGACACTCCTCCCAACCTGGAAAGCCTGCATTCCATGGAGCAGTGCTCAGAATCCTCCAGCACTGGACCCCAAGCCTTTCCTTGCCCAGATGGGGCCACTCAGCCCAGAGAGAGACATGCACTTGCCCGGAGTCACACAGCAAATTAGAGCAGAGCGGGACCTGATTTTTCTTTCTACTGAGTCCTGAGAACCTGCACGGAGAGGTTGGGGTGGCAGTGGGGGTGAGGTTGGCCCCTGCAACTACTGAGGTTTTGTCCCCTGACCCCCACTGGGAGGCAGAGATGCCAGTGTCACCCCCGGAGGTGCCAAGATGTGTGCTGAGCCAGTGTCCGGGAACCCAGGCTAGCCCTCCGCATTCTAACAATTGTTTTCTCCCCTCTGCCGCCAGCTCCCTGACTAATGTGCAGACGCTCTCCGAAGAGTCCCTCAACCGTGCTCCCCAGCTCTCATCCCCAGTGAAGGCGAAGGATGCCCAGGTGGAGTCTCCAGGTGAGCCACTGGGGGGCTGCTGGGCAGGGCGGAGTGGGGCAGGATGGGAGTGGAGAACTGAGCTGTCCTGGGTGTGCTGGAGGGGGCTGAGGGGAGACTGAGTCCAGGCAGAGGCGAGCTGGGGGGGCCACAGGATGGAATTTTAGGAGACAGAGCAGACAAAAGTCCTGCTGATCTCCATGCCCCCAGGGACCCCACCATGCCCCTTCCCTCATGGCCACCATCGCCACCATCAGGGCCAAGCATGGCGGGAGGTAGTGGGGGCAACATTTCTTTTTCAAGGAGGTTGGGAAGGAGAGAGGCCAGAGATGGGGAGACAGCTGGGGCCTCATCACAGGCCAGGCTGTGGGTACCTGGGAGTTCAGCTCGGGATTGCTGGAGGATGGGAGGAGGCCCAGGTAACCAGGGCCTTGGAGTCTCCAGCCTGGTTAACTGGGGCAAGGAGCAGGCCGCTGGGTGGAGGCTGGCAGAGTCTGTTTCGGAGGCTTGGAAGCCCACATGCTCTTTTAATGACTGTCACCCTCAGATAATTGCACCTTAAGGGAGGCTGACTTATCATTTCCCCTGAAGAGTCATCAAAACTATAATAATAACAGAGCTTTTATTCATTTTTATTGGCTGTACAACAATATTGTAGCAACAACAGAAGTTAAAACAAACGTGAACAATAGGTGCCTGGCACAGAGGGTCACCGCCTCCTGAGTTCTGCACTGTCCTTGGGACGGTACATTGTTGCCATCTCGTGCTGGCCTCTGTCACCTCTTGGGGATGCAAGCTTCCCCCGAGGTGCTGCCCTGCTCGGTTGTGGATTTTCCCAGCTGCAGGCTCCTCAGAGCAGCCAGGCTGCTGGGCTCTCGTGGGACCTCAAGACACTTGCTTGGGTGCTTGTGTGGGAGCTGTGTCGGGGGGGATGGCAAGCTGACTGTCGGGTGGTGGTGTCTGAGCTGGTCGCGATTTTGCATGATATCCCTCAGTTTGGGTATGCCTGGTGCCTTCCTCATGTTAGACAGGGGTTATGGATTTGGGGGAGCGAGTGGTAGTGTTTGAAGTGAGACTAGCTTGGCGGGAAGGGGCTAGAGGAAGCCAGTTCCAAGGTTCCCTGAAGGCGGCAGTGATGAGGCCAAGACCAGGGACGGGGGCAGAGGAGGAGGCCCAGGGCCTTTGTTCTGGGGCCCCTTCTCTCAGAGTTTCTTCTGACCTGGCTTTCCTGGTCAGAGGGCAGGCCTGGTGTGAGGACAGGGACAGAGCCAGGACTTCTCTACCCTGTCAAAAGCCTTGTCGTGGGCTAGAGGGTGGAAGGCAGGGCAGAGGTCACCACGCCCATAGTCAGTGAGGAAACTGAGGCATAAAGAGGAGTAATGAGGGGAGACTCCTGGCCTGGGCTCTGGGTGCCCCGTTCCCCAGGCCGCCTGGCTCCTTGGAGACCAAATGCCAATCCCCTCACCCCAGCAGGGCTTGCCACTGCCATCAGACCAGCTGCTCCTCTTCCAGGCTGAGTGTCTCAGGGTGGCCTTTGCAGGGATCTGGCCTGAGGGGTGGGGGTGCACTTTCCAGGAGTGAATGCTGCCTCTCAGGCCCCTCCTCAGAGAGAAAGGGCCCAGGCCAAGGAGAGGACCGACTGGTTTCAGAGGAGAAGGTTTGAAAGGCACCAGAGAGACCAGGAAGGCAGCCGGCTTGGCCCAGGCAGTCTCCCACGTTCTCCTCCCAGGAGCCAGGGCACCTCACTGGCCTGTTATGCTGCTGCGTCACCTCGGGCAGGTCCCGTCAGCTTGCTCAGGCTCCGTCTCCTGACACTGGGTAATTCCTTCTCTGCAGTGCTCCCAGAGCTGCTATCAGCATCAGGGGCTTGTGCACAGCCAAGCTCTGGAGCTCAGGAGGTCCTGACGTGGACAATGGCACTGATGTGCTTGCTATTCGAGGGGCAGGAAGGGAGCCAGTGGGGGGAAAGCTCAGAGGAATGAGTAGTCCCCAGCCCTGAGGGCTTCAGTTGTTCAATCTGGCTGCTCCACAGCGGTGGGGCACACAGAATAGACACGTTTTCAACAAATGAGTAGGGAATCCCAGAGAGGGTCCCATCAGAGGGGGCTGGAGAGGGGCCGTCTGAGCAGGCAGGCCCGGCGGGGGGCAACGGGAGCATTGGATTTAAAGGGGAGGGGGGACGGATAGGCAAGCACAGGAGAGGCAGCAAGGCCATTCTGGTTTATCAGGACTTTGGGAAGCTGGTGGGGACAGCCAGGCTGGGCGTGCGCCAGGACCCTCCATCTCATGTGAGAGCCAGGTTGCTGGGGATACTGAGATGGACAAGCCGCATTTCCTGCCCTCAAAGACCTCCTAGTCTGAGGGCAGACAGGCCCTGTGTGAAGGCACAGATAGGCTGAGGAAGGAAGGCCTGCTACCTGGGAACTGGGTGATCAAGGTGGGCTTCCTGGATGAGGAGGACCTCTAGCTGGCCTCAGATCCTCAAGCCTGCCCTGGGCCTGGGCCTGGGCCTGGGCCTGAGCTGAGAGGTCTGCCCTTGGGAGTTCAGCATCTGGGGCTGGTTATAAGAAGGAAGGGACAGTCTGGGAGGGCTAAAGGCGCTCTTGGCACCATTGCTCTCAGCAGGCACCCACAACAGATGCCCTAAGGGACCCAGGGACTGCCCAGAGCAGAGCCAAGCAGGCCTCATTGGCTCCCACAGGCCTGGAGTGGGGGTCATGCTCTGCCCAGCCCCCTCTCATGTGCCCCCCAGGGTCCCTGGGGGTGGAGTGGCAGGCTATGGGATGCAGCCGCAGTGAGATCCAGATTCAGCAGGCATCGAGTGCCCACCGCATGCCAGCCTCCACGGCTCCCCGGCAGGTCCTGGAGCCTGGGCTCCAGACTCCATGTGGGGGAGGAGACTGGAGCGGCCGCAGCTGGGAGGGAGTCTTGAAGCTGCCCTTTCACAAAGCACTTTCCATAAGATTGAGAAAAGGCAACTATCTCTATTGAAGACTGTTGGGAAGGGAGAAACTTGGGGATTATGAGAGGTGTTAAATCCTTCTTCCCCACACAGCTTCCCCCTTAATAGCAAGAGCAAACTTATTGAAGATTCACCATGTGCTAGGCTCCGTGCTAAGGGATTGACTTGTATTCTTTCATTTCTCTTCATAGCGGCAGTGGGGTAGGTACTTTTATCATGCCCATGTGATAGAGGAAACCAAGCTCAGAGAGGTTCAGCGATTTTTCTCAGAGTCACATGGCTAGTAAGCACTTAAATGGCCACACTGCCTGTCTGGAGCCAAGATAGCAGTGCGGTCCACTCCAGGCCTGGCCAGCCCCTGCCTCCCCTCCAGGTGACTGTCAAGCTGGCAGCCCCTCTGGGAAGCTCTTGCAGTCTTACCTTCAGGGAACACAGTTCACCTGGGTCTCCTTGAGATCCCAAGAAGCTTGAGGGTCCTCGAGCTCTGGTCCCCAGGCTGGGTTCCAAGCTGCCGAGATGGCTGTACCCCCAGGGAGGAGCCCCACTGAGCTGGGCCACAGAGCTGCCGGATCTGACCTCCACACAAAGGCAGCCTTGTGCCCAGCCCTGGAGACACTTTCCTTTCTAGCCCTTTCTAGGTTAAGCATGAACTCCAGCTAGAGCAGGGCAACATCAAGACCGCAGGGAAGGGGAGGGGATCCAGCAGGAGCAGCTGCTGGGGATGGGGCTGGTGGAGGGGCTGGCCAGGGCTAGGAAACCTGCACACCCACTGGGGAGCTTTGAGGATGCTGGGAGGCTGAGCACTCAGGCCAGCTTGGTCTCCAGCCCCGTGAGGCCGTTGACACATCAAGAGATGCACTGGGCCTCCTTCTGTCCCTCACTCCCACCCTTCCCAAATGTTTCAAGGGCATGGGTGGTGTTTCAGCTGGAGCCATGACCTGGGGAGCCAGAAAGGAGACAGATATGACTCTTGTCCTCAGGGAGCTCACAGCCTGAGGCTGGGGAGTAGGGAGAGGCCCTAGAACAGTGGGAGGCAGAGGACCCGCTGTCACTTCAGCCTTCGATGGGAGCAGGGGGAGGGGAAGGCAAGAAAGTCTTCCCAGAGGTCAGAGGAAATTGGAGTAGGTGGCTCCTCATCTGAGAAATGGGAACAGGTGGTGACCCTGGCCCCACTGGCCAAAAAAAGTGGAGCTTCTGGGGACCCTTGTAGAAAGATTTTCCTTATCAAAATGTCCAATTCTGTCAAGTCACAAGTGTGTATTAGGTGCTACGTCCAGGCCCAGAGTTGCCCAGGTCTGTCCGCAGGGTGCTGACCAGGTATATGTGCAAGGGAGGGGTCAGAGGCTGGGCAAATGCCCAAAATAACATGGAAACAGCCTCAGGCAGCTGGGAAGGAAGTGCAAGCAGTGGGATGCAGAGGTCAGACGGCACCCCCATCAAGGCCGGTAGTGACTACAGGCATTGCTGGGTCTCAGGCAGGGGCCACAGGGGCCGAGGCACCCACGCAGCCCCTGCCTGGAACATTCTTCCTGCTTGGGTGTCTGCTGCCCAGCTGTCGCCTCCAGGGCTCATTCATAATTCAGATGGGGAAACCAAGGCCTGGGGAGGGCAGGTGTCTGCCCAGGGTTACTCTGCTTAGTGGCCAGAACGCAGACCTCCTGACCCTTGGACGAGAAGGCTGGTGAGTGGCCGATAGCAGCAGGGGCTCCTCCCTGGCCTGCCAGGAGGCCTCGGGCACAGTGGAGCTGCAATCACCAGCCTTCTAGCAGTTACATTCTGTACCGCTTTGCCAAGGTCTTGACAAACTGTTCCCGAGCAGGTCTTGTCCTTATCTTTCATCGTGTCCTGAGGCATCATCCTCTTACATACTTCCCACGAGTGCCTGGCATGGGCTGAGCAAGTACCCGAGGCCCTCAGCAAAGTGTCCCTCTATGGAGAGAGGGACCCTCGTGGGGCTAGTCTCAGGCTGGTCTTTGCGGCAGGGGCTGCGGGGTCCAGTGGCCTGAAGGAGCGTTCTTGGCAAGGGACCTGTCCCAGGCCTGAGAACCACCTTTGCCCC